CTTGAAATCTTTATGAAAAACTATCCATCTACCTTCCTTACAGCAACTAGTTATCTCAGAAACATATTACATATTAAAACACATATAGTTATAAACCAAGTAATTCCCCATAAAATGCTCACTTGATTATAAAGAAAAAATATTAACCTTATAGTGAAGAAATCAAACAGATCTCATTCACATTAAATGACTATGTTAATGCCAACAATGATAAAAGTGGAAATCATACTCCAGCTAAACAAAACTGAAATTATAATGTATCAACAGTGAAAATGGAAATAATGTTCATGAGACTAGAGAATAGAGGAATAAAAATAGAGCATCACATCTTTGATGTTCTGCCAAACATATGTCATTCTCATGTAATCATAAAGAAATTTCAGACAAATCACAACTAATAGACATTCATTTAAAAAACTGGCCTATGATCCTCACAAATAATAAAGTTAGAAAAACCAAGGTAAGAGCGATTTAGTAATTGCAACTGAATGAGCAATTTTTTATTTTTTTGCCTTGAGAGCTATTACTGTAAAAAATTTGAGGAAACATAAATGAAGTCTGTGGATTAAGTAATTTCTTGATAAGAAATTCATTATTTTTGTTTCTTTATTCTGGTTCTACAGGATGATATTTTGCTTTAAAGGAAATATATTCAACAGTAACAAGATACTATGTTGGCCACTTAATGGTATTGTGGGGAAAAAAGCTCTTTAGATTATTTCTAAAATTTTTCTCTAAATTTGACACTGTCTCAGAATTAAAATGAAAAACAAGCATATTTTTTAAACAAACAAGCATTTTTTAAGAAAAAAATTGAGAACACTTAGAAAGTATTTACATTGTACAAAATTTGTAACTATATTTTAAAGGCAGAAACATAAGAGATAAATTCAAGTAAATCATACAAAAATTTTAAGCTTATATACTGAACTTCTTATGTGCCGTCGAGATGCCTTCAACTCATAGCAACCAACAGCTCTGAAGCCTGCTGTGTCCTGAGCCAGTCTCACTGTCTCCAACACAACTAACCCAATTGCCCCAGTTATTGTATAAATCCATCTCATCCAGGATTTTCCTCTCCTACATTGTCCCTCCACCCTTCCAAGCATGATGTCTTTCTTCAAGATCCAGTGCCTTCTGGCCACATGCCCAAAGTATGTGAGACGAAGCTTCAAAATCCTAGAGATGGAGTCAGAAAATCAAAAGGGCCAAATTCGGCATTTCTCACGCTGAAGGAACTAAAGATTAAATTCAAGCCACAAGTTGCAATACTTAAGGGAAAAAAAATCTGAACGATACAGGAAGCATTAAAAGAAGATGGAAGGAGTACACAGAGTCATTGTACCAGAAAGAATAGGTTGACACTGAAGAATTTTAAGAAACAACATATGATCAAGAGGCAATGGTGATGAAGGAAGAAATTTCTATACTAGAAAAAAATTAATTGGTTAGAGTATCAGTTACAAAAAAACCATAGAGACACAATGAAAGTGTTTGGTTTTGGTTATTTTGGGTTTTTTATTTTTTTATTACTTTTTTTGTGTGTATCATCAAATCAGATCTGACTAGTACAGAAGATTACCCCTCCTTCTCCAGAAGACCATCTGGTGGACTTGAACCACATATCTCTGGGACTGCAGTGCAGCTTCTTCCCACTAGGCCACCAGAGCTCCCCTGAAAGTGTGGGGTGTTTTTTTAAAAAATAAATAAATAAATTATAAGCAGAAACATAAAAGTGCATGCAGTTTAAAAGAATAATATGCTTGCAATTAAGAAAGAAAACAAAAACCTAGACAAAAAAAGATTACCAAATTAAATACAAGAAGGAAAAAAGAAAGGAATATGGAAGGCCAATAAACAAAAATAAACACATTTAACCTTACCAGGTACTATAATATTATCGCACTGAAATATCAGGATTTTAGATATTTTAAAAAGTAATACCCAGTTCTCTAAGAGAACTGAATATTCATCAACAACTTGCATTATGCCAATAGCACAACTCCACTTGCTGTAAATGAAGAGGACTTGAAATACTTGCTGCAGAAGATCAAAGGCTGCAGCCTTCAAAATGGAATGCACCTCAACATCAAAAAAACAAAAATCCTCATCACTGTACCAAAAATACAACATTTTAACAGATGGAGAAAAGATTCAAGTTGTCAACAATTTCATTTTACTTTGACCCAAAATCAAACTCATGCTAACAGCAATAAAGAAATCAAGACATGTTACACTGGGGAAAATGAGACCAAGGTTCTCTTTCCAGAGAGCTAAGGAGCAAGAATATCAGTTTAAACTAACGTGCAACTGATTCAAGTCATAATGTTTTCTATTACTTCCTGTACATCTGAAAGTTAAACAATGAATGAAGAAAACAAACAAATCATCAATGCCTTTGAGTTGTGGTGGTAGAGTTGAATCCTTAATAGCCTATGGACTGTGAACTGGGGAAGAGAGAGAGAAGGGAGAGAGGAGAAAATGTGCAACAAAGAACAAATGAATAATCAACTTTTCTGTAAAATTTCTTTAAAAATCACAATTATAAATTAAAATTTTACTTTAAAAAAAAACACACCAACAAATCTGACTTAGGGAAGTGCAAACAGGATAGTCCTTAGAGGGAAGGATGGTGAAACTTTGTCTCACACACTTTGGGAATGTTGTCAAGAGGAGCCAGTCCATAGGGAAAAATAAAAATATATCATGTTGGGAAAGCATGACAAACAATGAGAAGAAGAGCCCCCAAAAGACAGACTGACACACTGACAGTAATAATGGCAATAAGGATATCAGAGATTCTCAGGATGTAGGAGGACAGGGCAAGTTTCATATCTGTTATCAGTAGGATCACTATGAGTCTTCTTGGCTCGAGGGCACGTAACAACAACAGTAATACCATTTACAAAATGACCAATCTCATTCAGTATATTATTGAAAATTTCAAAATCTCACTAAATTTTTGCACAGAACTTTCACTGCTTTGTGTGTATATATTTATATTTTCAGGACACCAAGATATAAAGGGTTGCTTAATTAAATTCATTTTATTGATGCTAATAATATTAAATATATAAAAATAGAGTCCTGGTGCCCTAGTAGTAAGAAACCACAATGCCAATTGCAAAGATAGGCAGTTCAAATCAACCAGCTGTTCCATGGAGAAAGTCCTGCAATTTATGTCTCCGAAAACCCACAAACAGCAGTAACAATACTAAATATTATGCACTATGTATCCATTAAAAAATAATAACAAAAGCATATCTTACTAAACTATTAAGTTTAGTAAAATTTCAAAATCGACTGAATAGTGTAAGGAATATGATAAAAGTTTTGTCTGTGTTTTTAAAATGGATCTATCTATATGGAAAAATTCAGAGAAAAGGTTTGAGAGGGTCTGAATAATATGGTTTTTGTCCATGTACTTTTCTGTACTTTTCATTTTAAAAATAAGTAACAGCAATCCGTATAGTAAGATTTTATATATACAAAAATATCTGAAACCTTGAAATCAGTATTGACAACACCTTCTTCTACATTTAGTCTCCAGGTACTTTCCAAACAAATGGTGACATAATATCAGAGTGCATACTGTATAACAATAAAGTATTGTAAAATGTTCAAAAGTACATCTATTCCACACTTTACTATTTGATTTCCCACGTTCTACATCGACAACAATATTAAGTAAAATAGTATCCACAGTCTATGAGCCTATGAGAAACTATTGATTCACACACCTCAACTCATTCCAGGCTAGTGGGGTGCTGCATATTTTGTGGTCATAGCCTCCTGGCCCACCTGACTAAAGGTAGCAACAAGTTAGTGGGTGTTGTCAGTTCTCGGTTCCCTGAGGCCCAGCAGTTCAAAATTGCTCTGGGTTAAAGAGGAGGAAATAGAGGTACCAGAGAAAGTGTTCCAAAGGGAAAAAAAAGTTTAGAAGTTTAATGGTATCTCAAAGAGAACTGAATCAGGCCTCTGCCTCTGTGGGGCCCAATGAGTGTGTGAGTGTCCTATAATCTCTGAAGAGGAAACCCTGATGGACCACATGGCTTACAGAGTGGTACGAATGAGTCTTGGAGATGACTCCATAAGAAGATTTCTGATTCAGCAAAAAGTAAAAGCAAAAGGGCTTAAGCTTTAGGCCTTCCAGTTACATGGCCCTCCTGCATATACTTTAGTCTCCTTCAAGGCTACTATACCACAGAAAGTAATTTATAACTGAACTCACACAATGATAAACACATTCAATAAATACTAATTGTTATAATTTCTAGAATTATATACTCTTAAGGTAAAATAATTGGAAAAACAAGTAACAGAGAAATAGGAAATATTTCTCATTTTGCATAATGCCAATTTATACAAAAAGATCTGGATTTTGAAACCTCACTACGTGAATAATAAGCAAGTTGGGTGTAAAAAAAAGTACGTATAGTAAGTGAATAAATTTTCTAAATCAAAACAAATATAGAAAGCTACAGTTAAATATTAACTATGACTTTTTTTATAAAAAAAATGATGGGTTTGAAAATAGCATTTCTTTTGTCCCTAGCTTTCTGATACAGTATTTTTTTTCCTAAGAAAGAAGGTATAAAACTATTACTACTAATAAAATCTAAATAAAACTAATAGACTTAAAACAAAAGCTAATTAAGTTACTAATACCTTGACTCTTTAAAGAGGGGGAAAATCTCTAATTCAATAAGCATAAATCTGTAGGAATTAAAATATTCTTTAAAATATGAGAATGTTAAAATTCTAAATTAGTGTTAAAGACAACAGGTTTTGCTTTCTTTCGTTTTTAGTCTTATAATCTTTCATAACCTTTGAATAAATGTAGTTTAGCACAGTAATGATAGTGTTTTCCAAGTCTCTAAACTTATAATTTAGTGGTGGTCTATAACCCCCTCAAAAAGAAAAAAACTTTCCTTTAAACTTGGCAATTTTAAAAAAGCTGTATTCCAATAATAATAATAATAAAAAAAAATTCACTCTACCTTATTATAACGATCATGGGGAACAGACTGTAAAACAATTGGTTCCATTGTAGAAACATTGGCAAATTGTACCTCTGGAATATACAGGGCACAAACCACATGAGCCCAACCTAAAAACAAATAAATAAAATTATGTCACTTAGGTTAAAAAAAAAAGCATTTTCACAGAAAAATGAGATAATTCATTTTCTGTGGAAATCCTTTAAAGCCTATTTAAGTAAATGCACAATTAAGAAACTAACAAATAGGTGCTGAATTTCACAGAATGAAAATAGTCAAACTACTAAATACAAAGCATTCTCAATAATTTCTCCAGTTAGTTTATACACACAGTAGTATAAATAAAGGGAAACATTTTTACATTCAGATGCCAGGGCTCACAGCTTATACAATAACAGATTAATATAATCTGAAGATGAAATAATGCAAGGTGATTAATAGTTTAATAATTAAGGTTGATTATTTTATTCTTATTAATACTTAAACATCAGTCTTAAAATTTTACATTACCACAAAGAAAACAGAGCTACCTAAGTTAATTTTAATATTAGTTATTTTAATAGTTTACTTACAATTATTTTGGAATTATAATTACATTCATTGTTCCTTTAATTTTTGAACTATGACTAAAGGTACCAAAGAATGAGTATGACAGTGAAGGATTTCTGGGCAAAACTGGAAAAGGATATAAGTTAAATACATATAGCTTCTGGCCACTTTTGCCTGGAAAATAAATGTCCATTCTAAAGGAAATAACTTAAATGGTAGTAGGGCTTATAATAAGCTCAGGAAGCTAGTTTTCCATAGGCAAACAACAAAGAAGAAAAGTTCATCTGCCCTTCCCACTTACCATCATCCCTACAGTTATGACATTGAGGAGCTCCAAATTAACACTAAGAGTAAACTTAAAAATACATAGGCCCTTCTCAGTTTAAGAAAAGATGATACCTGGACCCTGTCTCTTTCACTCAACTATGACTAAGAAAATTTTTAATTTCCATTGGTCCCAGGAAACAGACTGGGGAGGAGGGGTAGGTAAGGAATACTATTACTTTAATTCACTAATTACTAAACATAAAATAGATTCTAAAATAACTTTCCACAATCAAAACACCTCTGGTGATGTAGTGAATAGGGACTTGACTGCTAACCCAAAGGTGGTGCCTCTCTGGCAATTCAAATCCACCAGTGACGACTCAGGACAAACATGGGCAATCTCCTCCCATAATGTACAGCCTCAGGAAACCTACTGGAGGATTAGCGGTCAGTTCTCACTCCATAGGAATGAATTCGAGACTTTTTTATTTTTCTGGGCACATGAGAAATAAAACCAACAAAAGTCAATCCAGTTAAAATATATTGCTATATATTAATTATCAAATGTTGTTGCTTGTCATCAAGTCAGTTCTGACCCACAATTACTTCATGTGACAGAACAGAAAAGACACACAGACTTGTCTAGGCTGAGATCATCAGAATCTATTGGGAGAAACACTAGAGACATTTGAACCACCAACCTTTCCAACAGATGCTGAGTGCTTAACCTTTGTACCACAACGACTCTGTGGTGTTACCAAATACAGACATTAAATGCATGATGCTTATTCAACCATATACATATAAAACTAAAAATGTCTATAAAGAAATTAAAGCTGTAAGTCAAATAAAAATTTCATATCTGAGACAAAGAAATTAAACTTCAGTAAGTAAGATTAATAAATGTTGAACATGAATGAAAATAGTAGCAAAGTAGGTCAAGAGAATATATATAAATGTCAGAACAAAAGAATGAAAAACAAGGGAGGAGAAAGGTGCCCAAGAATGAACAAGTCTAGCATTCATGTAATTAGAGTCCCAAATAAATACCTAAAACTTTATAGAACTGATGAAAGATAGAAAATTGCAAACTAAAGAAATACTGTAACAACAAACTACTCATTGTCATGGAGTTAGAATAGATTCACAGCTGCCCCTCCAGCAAGTTTTCAGAAACTGTAAATAGCACAGGAGGAGATAACTCATCTTTCTCCCACAGAGCTGCTGGTGGACTCAAACCGTGGACCTTGGGTTTGGCAGCATGACACTATACTGCTAGACCACCAGAGCTCCTGAAAGAAATACTACAAAGAAACACTATAAACACTAGGAAAAGTAAAATTCAATATACACCAGCAAAACACAGAGAGAATAAACAGATTAAAATCTTTACAGTAAGATTTCTCTTTACAAGAAAGTCCTCAGATAATGAGCAAATAAATGTAAGAAACTTACTTAATAAGATTCTATTAACGAGAACATCAAAGAATATCCCTCAGATAAAGAAAAAATTACCATAGACATAAAATCAGAGAAGAAAAAAGAAAAGAAAAACTATAAAACATGCATGTAATTATAACAAATACTGGTGGATAAAAATAAGTTCAAAAGTCAATTACTATCTAATGCTATAATTCTACTCCTAGGTATATACTCTCAAAATTTTTAAACAGGGACCTGAGAAGAGCTGTAATTCTGAATGCTTATATTAGCATTATTCATAACATTCAAAAAAATAAGAAATCCACCCAGTGTTAGAGTTATAAAGGAGTGTAGCTTTTGTATAATATTGAACTTACTAAGTTGGTTTCAATTCTAATTTTTAACAACCTAAATGGCTGTTATAATTTTAGGATGTTAATGCAATCACCATGGAAACCACCAAGAAACTGTCTAAAATATATATACATACTACATAAAATAAGAAGGGAATGAAGATAGCACACTACAAAAAAAAAAAAATCAAGCACTGACTGTAAGTTGGTGGACTAGGCAAACAACAGCCCAGATCCTCTCTAAGACATAAGAAAACTGAAAACAAATACAGATGATAACCTTTGGTGTAAAGAAAATGACAGTGTAACACCGATCAAAGAAAGAAAGGAGGGGAAGGAAAAAAAAAATTGAACAAGATGGCAGACTGAACAATGAACTGCCAAGAGACCATTCTGAACTTCTGCAAGCATTTCTCAGGCTAGCACAGCTCCCAATGCAATGATGTCCACAGTGACAATTATGCCAACAGTGTTCACACCAACAGCTAATTGACAAGAAAGGCACAATCTCATTCATGTTCCACATGCCCTCTTCTCAGGGTTCAGGAGAGTGACTTTCCCCTATCAGCACTGAGCCTCCAAGCTTAGCCAGCTCTGCCCCAGGCCAGGCATTTGCCATCATGTACTGTAACAAAAAAAAATTACAAAGCTCCACATTCAGAAATCCACTTTCTACCTCCTGGTGCCAGTACTACGCTCTAACATACAGTCACCCCCTCCTTGTAAAGGTCTGTCATTTCAACTACAATTCACAGTAATCTCTTAAAAATAGATCTGAACCTTGCCCCATCCTGCACTATCCTCATGATCCCTCATATGCTTCAATACCACACTTGTTAAAGTCCTTGTGTCAACCTATCTTACAGAGAGTTTTTGTCTCTTTCCCTGATATTCTCAATTCTACAGTATGATGTCTTTTTCCAAGGACTATTCCCTGTGTGTAACATGCCCAAAGTAGGTGCAACAAAATTTCACCATCCATGCCTCTAAGAAGCACCCTGATTGTACTTCCTCCAAGAGAGACGTGTTCATCTAGTAGTTCATTGGATATTCAGTACTCTTCACCATGACCACAGTTCAAAAGCATCAACTGTTTGCTCTTCCATATTCACTGTCAAACTTTCTGATATATAAGCAACTAAAAATACTACCGTTTGAATCAGGCACACCTTCACTTTTAAAGGGTTATCACTGCACTTTTGCACTTTTGGAAAAGTCTCTGACAGCAGATTTTTCCAAATGTAGTATGTCTTTTGATTTCTTGACTGATGCTATCATGGATGGTGATTGTGGATCCAAATAAAATTAAACACTTGACAACCTCAACCTTTTCTCTCTATCATGATTACTGCCTTTTGATCTAGTAGGGTTTGGGTTTTTTTTATGTTGAGATGTAATCCATATTGAATATTGTAGTCTTAGACAAATCTTCACTTTCTTCAAAGCAAGATTGTGTATTATCTGTGTAACACAACTCATAGATGAATTTTCCAACAATACTCATGCCACATTCTTCTGCATATAGTTCAGTTTCTTGAATGATTTGTTCTGCATACAGGTTGAATAGGTATAGAGAAAGGATACAATCTTAATGCACATCCTTCCTGATTTTTAACTACATAGTACTTCCTTGTTATATTCAGACAACTGTTTCTTGGTCTATGTACAGGTTTTGCATGAGCCACAATTAACAGTTCTGGGATGCCCAATCTTCTCTATGTTTCCATAATTTGGCATGATCCAGATAGACTATGCATAGTCAATAAAACAAAACTAATTACCTGACAATCTCTACTTTTAGTTTAGATCCAGCTGACATCAGCAATGTTATGTCTCATAGCCATGACCTCTCTAAATCTAGCTTGAATTTCTAGCAGTTCATTATTTTTGTACTGTTACCAACAACATTTTAAATTATTCTTCATCAAGATTTACTTCCATGTGATAGTAATGATACTGTTCAGTAATATCTGCATCCTGGTGAATCACCTTATTTTGGACTGGGAACAAATATGGCCCCAAGATTGATTAAAAAACACTATTTTTAAAGAGAATCTGTCTCATATCACCTCTCAAGTTGGCAAAAACAGCTCCTGATTGGGTGTTCCTATGGATTCAGGCCTGGCATGCACCACACCCAGATTTAGAATTGCACACTCTGTTCCTCATGAAGGCAGTGGAGTGCACCATCTCTCACCATCAATTTATTTGCAGTGACTATCTCTGGCAAGCCCCTCCTGTTTAGCATCAAATGCATGTTTCTCCCACAGAAATGCTGGGGTAGTGCACAATCAGAAGTTCTATCCACTTAAAACCTACCTGTTCATTTGACAAGGCACTTTATACATCTGGCACCAGGTACACGTCATCTCCACCTCTGGACAAAATACTCCCACTTTTTCACCTTTTTCACACTGGCAGAGTAAGTCATCTCTGACTAGGTATGCTGCCTGTACTCACACCCCAACTCAGAAATACCAATGACAGCCAGGCAGGCAGCCCAAAATACTTTGGAGGTC